GTTGACACAGTTCTTAAGCACAAACACATACTTATGTACACATACACATACATACAGCTTTGTGTTGCCTTTGTTTTCCATTGAAAAGTTCATAAACAAATTATGTAGTTGTTTATTTAACACAAACACACACACACACTCATATACGTAACGCACACACATTAGCAGATCAACAAATGTTGGCGGCTGGAACAAATTCCAAATGAGAACAAATACCGTTTATTGTTGAAGCTTTTGACTTTTGTCGATCTCTGCTTCATGCACTTTTTTCATGCTGCTTTTTCTCACTTTGCATTTGTCACTGTCGGCGCTGCAGAGGACCGAAACACGTTGAATTTTGCACAATTTCTTTTGCACGTTTTTTTTTCATTATTTTTTTTTTTTGTTGTTTGCCATACATTGCCCTCAAATCGTGCTGCGGTCGCCGACGCGAGCAGCGCTGCTCTGCACGCTGACTCATAAGGAGCAGCAGCAAGAGAGCAGCAGTTACAGCAAAGGAGATGGATAGATAGATAGAGAGAGATGGCGACAGAGAAAAAGAGCGTAAGGAGCGGCTGAGCTGTGCAGGCAAGCAGGGTGCTCTTCTTGTTGTTGTTGTTTTTGTTATATCCACTATTTTTTTTTTTTCGTTTCGTTTTGGCTTTTCTCGAGCAACATTTTTCCTGTTGTTTGCCGTTTTCACGCTGCTGCTCAGATGCTTATGTTAATTTTCACATTCACAAACTGCACTGCATGTGTGTGTGTGTGTGTGTGTGTATGTGTGTGTATGTGTGCATGTGTAGTTACACTGCATACACAAAAATTATAAAATAATTTATGCCAATTTGAGCAAGCGAATCGTTCGAGTTGTTGTTGCATTTGTTATTGTTGCATTTACTTTTGTTGAATATCTCTTGCGTCTTTTACAAGCGTGCAGTTTGAATGAGCTGCACAATTTTTTTTTATTATTTTGTGTTACTCTTTGGTTTGCACTTCGTTTACACACTCTTTACACTATGCTGCTTACAACGAAGTTGTTGTTGTTGCTGTTGTGCTTGATGCACTTCTAGATATAGATACCGTTACACTTGTGCAATTTACAACAACAACAACAGCAACATTGACGGCGTCTACACAGACAACACTTACACAAACAAGCACGCACACATATGCACATACGGGAGGCGTACTTGGTGCAATTGGGCGCAACAACAATAAATTATAATTTACGTGCCCAAAAACCACACACACAATGAAAATTTCCCAGTGCAGCGAAATTTAATTCTACCGAAATGCAATGCGAGTAACGGCCAGGCGGCTTACTAGCGCGCACACGTCCTACCGCGTTGACTTGTGAATTGAAACTGATATCGTCTATCGATTGAGCAAGTGGAATATTCTATCCGGCGGCGATAATACTCGGAGAGTAAAAAGCGAGAGAGCGCAACGGCTGGTGTGAAACAGGTCCATTCTGCGCATGGTTTTGAGAGCGTTAAAGGTTGCCGGTTTGTTCTGCGGAGTTGCGAGCGCCTATGACGTCACGCGTGTGGTATTTTCATATGCGCCAATATTGAAATTATTTTTAACACTTAAATAAAATAACTTATTTATCTATGAATAATTGTAGGTATTAACTGTTGTTTTTTTATTTACTATTTAGGTCGTTAGATGCGCATTGTAGTTAATTTGATTGCATATTAAGTCATTTATCACGTGAGATAACGTTTAAAAATAAACATTTTTTACAGATATTTCCAATTTTAGCATAAAATTACTTTTTATTGGTCATTTTGGAATAAATTGCGCCTTGAGGGTCGTTCGAAGGGCATAAAATACTCAAACATGTGAAAGAATCGCGATGTTGAAGTATCGATACAAGCGCTTGCTACTACTTTATCGATAACAGCCTTTTTGACCGTTTTTTTTTTTGAGAGAGATTATTATTTTATATGAATATGAACATTAATTGAAGTTCAGGAGCATGCCCTTGGCTACCTCCTGGGCCTTCGCAGTGCCAGCCAGCTGCTCGGATATCTTCAGAGCAAATTCGTAGGCTGTGCCCGGTCCACGACTGGTTATAAGATTTCCATCCTGCACGACGTTCGCATCATCCACATAGCTTAAGGTTTAAATACAAACGTATATCATAAATATTCGATATGCCAAGATTAGTAGTTGACCCACCAATATTTATCCACCAGTTGAGGCTTCATGGCGGGATATGAAGTCAGCGTCTTGCCGGTGGCTATGCCGTGTTTGGCCAACGCTGTGGGCGCAGCACAAATGGCCGCAATTAGACGTCCGGCCGATTCCTGGCTGCGCAGCAGCTCGCCAATCGCCTTCGAATCACCCATGGCATTCGAGCCGCCCAAACCGCCGGGCAGCACAACTACATCGTATGGCTCATCCGCCAGCGCCTCCTCCAGGGATTTGTCCGGCACAATGACTACGTCACGCGAGCACTTGACGGGCTCGCTGCCGTTCAAACCGGCGACGGTCACATTGACCTGGATGTAAAAGTCGTTGCGATATATGCGATATAAATAGCCGGATTATGGGTTGTCACTTACGCCCGCACGACGCAACACGTCCGCTGCAATGGTGAACTCCATTTCCTCCGCACCTGGCGCCAGGATAATCAATGCGCTTTTTGTCATGCTACTTTCGGCGAAAAATTTCGACTGCGTTATGCTTAATACACTACTCTCACGACTTCTGCTCAGCGATAGCAGTCGCAGTGGCCAGCGCAACATTGAGTACATATCGATAAGAGTGGTTGGTTATCGATTTAGAATTGTTGCCAGCTCAAATTTTAGACAATTAGCTGAGTTGAATTTGGAATTTGGAAATTTGAAATGAAATGAAAAGTTGGTTGCAAGATATCTGGAATAATAACAATATACTTAAAACCAAGGCAATATTGGTTGCTTCAAAAAATATGTTTAAATCTAGGTTAATGGCTTCGTAAAATAAAGTGCGCGAGAACCGAACCTGAAGGCAATGGTTCAAATCGTGAACTGAACCTAGGCTCGTTTTTTGTTTATAACAAGATTTCTTTTTAAATTTGAGGCAGCCGAGATAAGAATGCAATAGAAGATATGCAACTTGTAAATTGAGCAAAAATAAATAAATGCGTGTTCCATTTAAATGACGGGAAAATGTAGCAAGTGAAAGGCGAGTTATTTGCGTGAACCGTGAACCAATTCAGTGACAAGTTCCTTGGATCTGCAATGAATACAAAATTTGTGACGTCATTCAAATTGGAATCTGTTGCAAGCATTAAACTAAAACGATACTTTTTAGTTAAATATATATTTATTGAACAAAAAATAGGTGTCTATGTATTTTGTTTTTCTTGTTTGCAATGCAATTGAATATGTTATTTTGGTTCTACTCACAAATAAACACATACACATGCATTTATGTAGATTGCCAAATGTTAATTTTCTTTTCGAAATTCAACAAAAAATTATGTAAAACCGCAAAAAAATTGCAAACTAATCTGAAAATTGTTGTTTTTTTTTTTTCGTTTGTATAAAATGTAACTTAATTGAATTAGTTGTTATACATAAGAACTATTTGTATTGAAGCGCTTAGAAACTAATTGTTAGACAGCTGATTTTAATTCCTTTTTAATTTTTGTTTGTTTAATTTCAATTGAGTTAAATTAATTGTCTCTGATGATACTCCAATATTAATAAGTTAAGTCAATAGTGTGGAAAAATCTTTACGTCGTAATTTAAGTCACATTCAGAACTTGTTTGATTTGTATTTGTTATTTTAGTATTTTAGTATTTTATATATTTTGCTTTTACTAATAACATTTAAAAAGATCACCAAAGTTACAGATTTCCCATATTTACGTTGCATACTTTTTGCATTTATTATTATTATTTATTTTTATATTTGCTTTACGAATAATGTATTTTTGCTCAATTCGCTTAAATAATAATTAATAATTAATTATGTTATTGATTAATTACCCGGCATTTTGGTTTCAACTTTAAAGTAAGGGTTTGATTGGGTTTTTGTTGTTGTTGAAATTGATCTTTCAAGCGGATCTGCACAGATATCAGATATATAAATAAGTATTACATAATTATTTAATTTGTAAGCTTCTGACGATACTTTTGATATCTTTAATTTACGAGTACTTTATTTGTTTTCGTTTTCGTTTTTTTTTTGTTTTCTTTTCAAGATTTTTGCTAATCCAATTTCAGCTAAGGTTTATTTGCTTTTTGTTTTTCGTTTTTAAATAATATTTTTATGCTTTTGTTTTTGTCTTTGAATGTTTATTGGAACACTACGACAATTGTGGGCCTGGGTTAGGGGCGTGGTGTTTTTTTTTTTTTCTTTTTGTGTGGGACTAATTGGAAGAATACGTGTATAGACAATTACGCAAACATACACACTTACACATATTTATATATATATATATATAAATATACACATAATATTTTGGTAAGCAGTTAAACATATATAATTGCTTGGAGTTAGTCCTTTGGAATTTATTTGTTGTTTTTTTTTGCATTTTTGTTAATTGTGGCTCAATTTTATTTCCTTTAGGAAGAGTTGTGCAATTGCTGTTCTAGCTTCGTTTGATCATCTAATCCGAATATATAGTTATACATATATATATATATATATATATATATATATATATATATACTTGTATATTATTGTAGACATTTATATATTTTGTGTACTTAGTTGCTAATATTAATTAATTTATTATATCATTGAGTTTGCGATAAACGGCACATTTATAAGTAATAATTATTAGAAACAACAAGAGGCCCCAGCTCTGATCCATTTTTTTTTAAAGCTCAATTAAATTTCGACACATAGAAAGTGAGAGAATCATTATAGTCGGCTTCCCGGCCTGTTGAATAGAAAACTGTTTTCTATTAATATAGTTCTATGTTATATATATATATATATATACTATACTATATAGTATATAGTATATAAACTCATTGTTGGCGGCCCTCGTTTATAGAGCAGAGCAAAAAAGTATTACATTCAGTTGGGCTTTGATATATTTTATACAGTGTATACAGTATTCGTTTATAGATCGGCAATCAATCCATGCAAATCTCACTCGCTATATATATAGGGATAGTCTATATATAACTAAATATGAGATATTGTGTTATAATGTCCTTCGGTTTAGCTACGCGACATTTGAAGAAACCGTGAAATTGTTTTCGTTTTTAAGGAGGGGAATAATACATTTACATAATAATTATGTATAAATCTTTTATTGCAATTATATTAGCTTGTTATATATGTACGTACATATATTAATGGATTATGTGATTTATAAGTTATGCGCCCATAATAATTCTGTTAATGTCTTAATCACAAGTGCCAACTGTCGTTTCAAGAGTCTGGGCATACATCTAGATATATATATATATATATATATATATATTTATGTTTATCATGTATATTGTGTTAAAGCTTTAGACTTTGCTCTATAAATGTCGAACCAGCATTATAGCTATGCCTCGTGTGTTTTACAAGTACAAATTACAATTACAAGGATACATTCATTGTCGGCACATATATTGTTGTTGTTTTGTTTTGTTGTTTAGCTTAAAGTACATAAAAATGTATTTGTAAAGTGGGGTTTTGTTGAGAGACCCGGGCGCACGTACCTAAACTTAAGAGACCCCGCATAATTTTTGCATTGTTTCGATTACATTGTTGCTTTTTGCTTTTGGATGTCCTTAAAATTAGAATTGTTTTTTACTCGTTTGTTTTTTGTTTTTCTTTGTTGTTTGTTTAGAAATAAATGTACAATTTTAATCCCTTGTGTTAAAACATGCTAAATAATTAATGTTTTTTTTGTTGTTTGTTTGTTTTTCATCATAAAAAATACAAATAAATTAAAAACAAAATAAACATGTTACAAAGCTACCGAATCTTCAGCTGCTTTTGCACACTTTCATTTTGTTGTTTTCGTTTTAAGAACTAATTTGTAATAGAAAATATTAGCTTATACACGTTTATAATTTATGTATTTTATAATGCTCACATATATGTATTTTATGTATGTGTGTGTGAGGGTGTAGGCATTTGTGTGTGACTGTGTGTGTGTGTGTGTGTGTGTGTGTGTAGACGACATGTTTTGAAAGGCATCGAAATTTTTTTTAACAGATTTTTAAATTAAACTCCAACATATTTGCATGAGCGGGCGGCGCTTGAAATGTCTAAAGACAGAAATTGTTATAAATAAATGGGTTGCTCTTTTTCGGTTCTATAATAGAACAAATCAGCATAATGTTAACTTGAACTGTGTCCTCCATAAAAGTACATATATGTATACAGATTTATATATACATATTAATATTTGTAAGGTTTGTAAAATTGGCAATTATTTAAAAAAAAAAAAAAGAACTACAACTTAAACTAAATATGCCCTATGAGTTTAGGGGAGCGGCTGCGAAAATATAATTTGAATAAAGTATTGCGCTTAATTAACATATTATTTGTTTACCCGTACACCACGTAATTTGTTAAGACTTCATTAATACAATTAACAGCGTTTTGTGTTTGTTATTAAAATTATGAAACTTAAGTTGAGCTAAATAGAGGTACATAAATTAATTGGACATTGGGTTTGATATGCCGTGTATGTTGTGTTGTGTGCGTGTGTGTATGTGAGTGTGTGTGTGTTTATAGAAAACATAAACTATTTAACTATAACTAAAATTCGCTGTTTAGTTAAACAGCAACTGTTGACTTTAGCATAAGTTTAGCGCAAACTTTTAAGTATTGTTTTTGTTTTATGCCATTTGTGTTAAAGTCACGGCTAGCCACGTTTATACAGATGCAATATACTAGTTGCCTAAATACACATATATGTATATCTTTATATATATATATATATATATATATATTTATATTATATATATAAATATAACTAGCAATTGTTTGACCAAAAGTTTGTCCCTTGTTGAAATTGGAGTTATCGTTAATGTTGTTACTTTTTTGTTTTTGTTTTTTTTTTTTTTTGGTAGTTCCCAACTTAAGTCTACTAAAAAGTTTGCTTTTCTTTACAATTCTGGACATTTGAGTTGTAATATTGAAGTTTTTCTTTTTGTTTTATACATACATACATACACATATATAGATGGCTAATTATTACACTCTTTAATGCTTGTCGTAATGTTGTTGTTTGTTGTTGTCATTTTTGTTTTTGTTAATAATTCTTTAAGCTTGGTGGTGGTCTTCGTTCACAGTACAGAGAATTCCGAGTTGTTGTTCTTGTTGTTGTTTTTGTGTATGTGTTGTGTTTTGTTTTGTTGTCTGTGTGCGTGTGTGTGTGTGTGTGTTAATCAGCAACTTTTTTCTTGTTTTGATATACTAAAAAACCTTTGGTTGTCTGCATTTTTTTTGTCTTCACATTTTTTAAACTTTGTTTTTGTTTTGTATTGTGTAAAAATATAATTTATTCTATTACAAAAGTTCATCGTAAATGTGTGTTGTTGTTTTTTTTGCGTTTGTTTTCAGCTGTTGTTATTTGACTTTCGTTTTGTTCCCTTTAGTTTGTTTCGCTACGCTTGTTTTTATTTTAAATTTTTTGTTTTTTTTTTGTTTTTTTTTTGAGAATTCTCTTTCACATTTGTTGCGCCTGCTTGTGCTTAAACATTCGATTCCCTTTTTCTCTAATCCCTACGGTTTTGGCGTGTGGGTATTGGTGTGTGTGTGTAAGTGTATTGTTTGTGTGTGTATTTTGGGCCTAAAAGCTAATGCAAATGTGCTCCATAAGAGCTGTTCTGGCTTTCTTTGTAACTTAAATATAAACATCATTTAAACTTATTCTCTAATGATTTCGACTCGGCTTTTGTAAACGCTTAGCTTTTTTTTTTCTGAGTTGGCTGCTTATTCGAATTCATTTTCGAAATTTAAGTGTTTTTCTTGTTGTTGTTGCTGCTGCTGTGTGGATGTGTTTTTGTTAATTTGTTTGTGTTTTATTTTGGTGTCGCTTTTTATACTTTTTAGGCAAAGTACATGACCTTTTTGGTATCGGCATGAACCGTTATAGCGCGTGCCATGGCTCCGGGAGTACGATCCTCGGAGGAGCCGCTCTGATGCGATCCCTCACCGGAATCGTGCTCCTTTTCGACCAGATGGTATCTGTTGGGCAAAGAAATGTCAGTAATTCAGTAATCAACAGATATATAGAACTCGTTTATGCTATGCAACTTTTTAAACAGTCTGGCAACTTCAAATTTGCTTTTAGGTTGAGTTAGTTAGTTAAGTAAGTTAGGTTAGCCGCGCTTGCACATTTGTATTGAAAATCGCATAGAACAGCGCTAGTTTTATAAAACTATAATTACCTGTCTAGTTAGCATAGCCTAAACATAGTCTATATTAAATATAAATGTTAAATACCTGGCACGGAAGGCAACCAAATGCGCATAGTAGGCCGGCGCCGGGATGCTGACAGAGCGCGTGCAGCGCACATAGGTGTGGCACAGTTGATAGGTGAGGCATTGCAGCTCATCGGAATCAAAGTGATTATCATCCCAGAGCACATGATAGTGGGAGGGGCGACTGGTACCCTGAATGCCCTGATGGCTGCACAAATAGAAATCAAACTCTGTGGGATGTGTGATGCCAACGTCGACGGTGGTGCCGGCGGGTATGTTGCCCGATTTGCCGCTCTGCTCCCTCTTCTCGGCACAGAAGAGTCGCGTATGATGACGCTTCTGTACGACAATAAATGTAATGCCCGGTCGGTACTCCGGCTCCAATTTGATGCATGCCTCGCGTATGGCGGTCAGCTCGTGCTGCAGCACATGGGGGAACTGACCCTCGGAGACCCCGTCGCGATAGAGTATGATGCGATGCGGCTTATAGCCACCGGTGGATTTGTAGAACATGATAAGCAGTTCGCGCACCATGCTGCTTAGCTCCTGAATTATCTCCTGGCGATGCTGCTGAACGCGCACCGTGGCCGCATAGCGCGACGGATGCGCATCCATCGAGCCAACAACAGCGGCTATGGATGGCTTCTTGTTGTCACCAGCCGGCGGATGGGTGACATCGGCGCCCAGGAAAATAACGGGCTCATTGAAGACCTTGGGTCGAATCGAGGGCACCAAAATGGAGTTAATGCCGCCCAGCTTAACATTGATCTTGAGGCACAGATTGGAGAGCGTCTGTGGCGATGTCTTGTTTACATTCTTGGCCTGCACACACTGCGTGGCCATGCCCAGCACCGTGTCGCCCACACGCTTCACCTCCGCATAGACGGGCGTTTTACCCGGCAGCACGACAACGACAAGCTGCAGCCCGGGGAAGGTTATCTTCAGATAACGAAACATGGGCTCCACCTGATCCGGTCCAGTAGCATACTTGCAGAAGCAAGGCTGCCCAATGATGGGCATTCCAGCATCATTGGAGATCTTTTGCAGTTGCAGTGTAAAGTTACGCAACGCATCCTCGCGCACTGTGCGCTGTGGCGCAAAACAGGCAATTGCCCAAATGCGTATCTCGACGCCCGTGAAGAACTGCTTGCCACGCATATCCCAAACGCCCTGATTGGGCGACGCCAGGCTGACCTTGTTCTGTGGCGGCAAAAGCTGCTGTCCGGTTATGCCCGACGAGACACGTCCCCCATATTGTAGCTTTGGTGGCGGCAACACTCGGCCGCGCACCTCCATCATGGAATTGGAGATGGTCAGACCGAACTCCTGGACATACGAGTCATTGTTGAAGTCAGCACGTTTGACAAGATTGTTAATCTCGCGTTCGCGATCTGGTGCCGAGCGTGCGGTGGCCTTGATCATTGTTGATGTCTGCATATCGGTGAGCTTCTTGATGCAACGCTGGCCGGCCACAATGTTGCACACTTCGAGCGGGAGATAGGTGTGCTTGTGCTCCTGACCCACCTGCAGGCAGGGCAAATGCGGATAGCGCAGCTTCATGCGATACTTATCCAAAAAGTACTTGGCCACGGTGCACTCCACAGTCTGACCGTTTTCTAGCTGCAGCGGGAAGCTAATCAAAAGAGAAAACACAAATTGGGATTAGTTTAGGTAACCAGTCTTCAAGTGATGTCTTTTTATACTAGTATATGTAGACAGTTGACGCAAATCGTTCGCCCAGGGAGACCATGGTAATTTCTGATGGATTGGAGTAGAAAAAGGAATAGGACACTCAAAGTCGTCCGGACCAGACCAGATTTTCGGTCGTCCTGTGCTCTGAGCCACCTCTGACCTACTATGACTCCTGTCATCAATTGAATTCTGTTCTCGTTAATGTAGAAATCTGGAGTTCCCTTCCCAAAGATTAAACACTTCGGTTCAGAGGCTCATCGTCTCTCCAAGAGCATTCTAGTTCCACATGCTAGTCGGGGTAATCTCTTATATAAACGTTATCCTCGTACTAGACTTAGTATCCCCCAGAAAATTTGACCCGTACTCTGGTTTTTAGAGCTTTGTTGGCTAGACAGGATCTGTTAGCAGTAATCCGAGTTATTACCTACGCTCCAACTCCAACTCCAACTGAACTATTAACAACTACCTATTAGCCAAAACTTCCGCAAATGCTACGCTCAACGTACGACCAGAATACGTTTTCTAAGAGGCGGTTGTTAAACTTATATCAGGTTTCTACCAGATCTTGGCGACCAACCCCAAGAGTGGCAATATCCCACTAACCTAACCCGAGCTAGGATTTGATTGCATTTGCGTTGCTTCCACTTACGATTGCATTTGAGCTGGTCGCCGTGTAACATTGCAGACGCGATATTTGCGACGCATTTGGCCACAGTGTGTAATCTCAATCTTGAGTCCCTTGATCTCCTTGGTGAACTTGACGCGCTGCGAGTCGGTGAGCGGTTTGCGCTGCTCATTGATGTCGCGTATGTCCAGGACCTCGCACATAAAATCAATGACCGGTTGTGCCTTGTAGAAGGCGGTAGCCGAAACTGTAAGGCAAGGATTTTGTTTGGAATTTAATTCGAATGAGATGCAGTTACTTCGCCCACTTACCATCAATGTTGAGCATCATTTTCCACTGCGATGGCCGTACGCTCTGATGGAAACCAAACCAGACCTCACGACCGCCACCCAGAGGATGATAATAGCCATCGGGTGAGCTAAAGAAACTGCGTCCCACGGGCGTGTACGTCATGCTGGGTAAGTGACGCATGACCACATCGAGTGCCAAAATGGCATCGTAGGGTATTTGGCGAGTACGCCCCTCGAGCGCCTCCTCCAGATTAAAGAGCGACACCTGCGCCTGCCACTTGATCGTCACACGGAAGATGCGATCCTTGCCCTCGCCGGGCAACGTCACCTCCAGCTCCAGACGCTCATTGCCAATGGGCAGCGGATCGCGAGTATACAAATTATTGCGTCCATCAAACACGGGCTTGAGCACCCCAAAGATCTTGCTATACGCATGCACCATGGTCTCAATGATCTCGCGATTCACCTTGCGCGGACACTTGTCCGGCTGTATATTGATGTCGTAATGGTGCACAAAGCCACGCGGCATTGTCACCTGAAAGTGATTCGCACGGAGCACAATCGGTCTGCCCTCACGGCCCAGATTCGGTCGTCGCGGGCACGTGAATACCGGCATATCCGGCTGCGTAGTGGGCGATGCCGCTGCAGCGGCAATGGCTGCCGATACGCTGGCCGTGGAGCCAAGAGCAGAGGCAACCTGAGCAGCGGCTGCAGCAGCTGCACCACCAACGGTGGCACCGCCGGCAGCAACATTCTGAGCACTCGGACTGGTCACAGCGGTGGGATTTACCGATGAACCGGGCGCTGGTGGTGCTGCAAGTGTGTGTCATAAATCGGGATTAGACTACAAACGAAAATGTCCAGATACACAAATAGATAAAACGCAAGTAAATTAACGACTATGCGACGCACTAGCAACTAGATAATTGTACTAAGTAACAAACTAGAACAAAATTCTTCGGTAGCCGAAAACTGGGTACCCTTACAGACGTGTGTAGTCTTTAATAGTTGTGATCTGAGAAAAGCACTGCTATATAATATAGAGCTCCGATCTCCGATAATAATCGTAATTGGTGAGTGGTAAAGATATTTTTTTAAATAAAAATAAACGATTCTCTCTATGAGATATGATATAGTATTCCGACTTTGGATGGATTATTGCTAGAGTCTTGGAAATAAAATGAGTCTCACTGTGATTTTTATTTAAATGTTTAATAAACTCAATTTTTGATCGGCAGCCTTTTGATATTATATTCTGATCCGAATCCATGTTAAGATTTGTTAAAACAGACGGACTTAACTATCGAGAATATATATACTTTATTAAGAGAAAACCCGCTGGAAGGGTATTAAAACAAAGGTTAAGAGCAACGCTGGCATGCAGTTAGTTGCACTACACGAGAAAATCAAAAGATGTACAAAAGTTATACAAGTATAACGGTATACGTAACGTAACGCGACGTGTAGAGATTTTTGGTGTGTCGAGTTTTAAAACAACTGTGCATTTTAGTTGCATTCAATCAAACGGAAAAATCATAAATAAACATTACATGAAACAAAAAATGTTGTTAGTAAAAATTTTGCACATTACTGTGAAAAATTAGTGTGTAGACTTTTTTTTTTTATAGGGTTAGTAAGGTGTAGACATTTTAATGTTAGTTCAAATTTTGTTTTTGTTTTCCTCAAACATCAAACTAAAGAACATAAACAGTTTTTGTTTGCAATTTTTGATTTTTTGTTTAGTTTTAGTAGTTTTAGTAATTTGATTTTGTTGGAGAGAAATTTACATGTGAGCGTGTCGAAGCTAGTCTGCGCCTGAGAGGGGCTCTGAGGCCGCGTGGGCGAGGGGGTGGTCCACTGTGACTCTATAAAAAGAAAATTTAATCAAAATCAAAATTGTCAAAAATTAAAGAAATGAAAATAAAACAAAAAATTAAATTAAATGGCCAATCATGTTTGATTCAATGAAATAAATGTAATGAGAAAAAAAGAAGAAAGAAAGAAAAGGTGATAAAGAATTATATTGAATATTATATAGAGTGCGATTAATATTTTAGTTACAGCTTCTCCCAGCTTCATCATCCATTTATCATTTCATTATCATTATAATAATCAAGTGTACATCTGCCACATGAGTCTGTGTACATGTGTGTGTGCGGTTATATTACGCCTGCATCTGCCCAAGGGAACTGAAAATGATATATTGGTGTTCTACTGCATGAAATGGCTTGTATGGAAATTCTTATAAATTAATTTCACTCTTTTAATGCGCCATTTTGGCCAACTATCTCAAAACTATCGAAAAGGCAAATTTACGAAAGTCTCCCATCTCCATTCTACACACGACAGCTGTGCTCCTCGTGTCTAATACGCAAAATAAAAGAAACTACAACAAAACTGCGACGCAATTGCTGAGACGCCTTGAAACTTCGCTTTGAAGAAGCAATCGAACGACGAACTTGAGGACCAACAAATACTCCACTTGAGCCCCAGCATAAAGCTCAACTATTACGTTGCGGTCGTTGACCCAATTTATGTGCACATGTTTGACACAATCGCCTGTTCCTGTATCTCTCCCGCTCTAGCGCTCTCAATTGATGCGCCTAAGTCTACACAGTCTGCAGTCTATTGTGTTCTTCCTCTTATGCTGTTAGTTATATGCATTTTGCTTATTGGAGCTTTGAGCGCTATTGCACTTAACAGTTACTCAACTGTCTCGAGTGCCTCGCCCTCGACCATTTACGCATTCATTCATTCTCAATTTTATGAAATTGTGGAGAATTGTGTTTGCAAAGGCAACACTCGACGACGAGTGTGTGTCTGTGTGTGCGTTTGCAAAAGTAGAACATCAAAGAGCTTCATTATGGGCATTGGGGGGTTTCGGGCGTGTTTGTGTGTGTGTGTAACATGTGGCAGATTTGTAGACTATTTTTTTCAATTGCAATCGCCACTTACGTTGTCCAACTGGATACATTTTGCACTAGTATTTGTTTAAGAAATGTAAGAATGTATACAAAGGTTTTCTTGCTTTTTTTTTTTTTTTTGCTTTTTCGTGTATGTGTTTTAAATGTAATTGATTGTTCTTGTAGTTGGTTATTTTTTGTTGCTTTTCGTTCCTACTAATTATTATTTGTTTTTTGTTTTTTTTTTTTTTGTTTTTGATTTCAGCCTTTTGCTTATCACACTTTAAAGTAGTTTTATTCGTTTGGTTGATTTTCGCATTTATTTTTATTGTTGCTGGCGTATTTTGTGTTGCAGTAAAAATTGGAATTTTCGCACAGGACACACGCTTGCAAATGCGTTGAATTTGTTGTCGAGTCTTCTTTAATTATATTACTATTATTATTGTTAAATTTTAATATTATTCTTATTGTGGTTGTTATTATTGTAGTATTGGAAAAGAACACAAATGTAGGCACAGCTTTCGTTTTATGTATATGTTTGTATGTATATGTACATATACACATACATATGCATGTATGTATTTCTAATGCTCTTATATTTTTGTTTTTGTGTTTTTGTCATACAACTAAGAACAAATTATTCTTTATGCTTCTTTATCTTGCTTTGGCTGTGTGAGTGCGCGTGTGGGTGTTTTGTGTGCGTGTGAATGTGTATGAAAATTGCTGGTGTGCTGGGTGCTCCGCTGGACAAACGACGACGACGGCAACGGCGACGGTGGCGCTTCTACAGCAAGAAAATGCTTTTGTATGCGTTTTAGATTGGGCAGCAAAAATGTGTGCACACGTATATTTGTTATTTTTCGAGACGTCGTTTTTGTGCACCCGAACACGTATGCGCTGCCAAAACTATGCACAGACGTTAGCCAGACTATTGATTTTTAATTTTTAACAACTTTTGTTAGCTTTTCACGTCGCGCATTATGCAAAATATGCAATTTTCATCAGTTTTTCACACTTGGACGTCCCGCAGCAAACACAAAATTTTTACTCGCGACGTGTGTGAGTGAGACGCATACTGTACGCTAACCACACTTAAATGAGGGCAAAGCACTTTGGCTGAGGGTTGGTGCGTGAGAGTGAGATGACAGCACGTTGCTGCCGCGGGAGCGTGTGAGCACTTGTGCATCTAAATCAAAGCGTCAGTATTATATTTATAAATTGTGGATTATTTTTGCTATAATATTGCCTTTAAACGGGGTTTTGCATTAATCTACAGCGTATGCAAGTCTAATGTTAACTCAAATTGGCTCTGTTGAACTCAAATTGACAGTAGTAGTGTTGGCAAAGGTTGGTTTAAGTATTAAGTAGCGATTGTACTGCAGTGTGGCCATACTTAAGTCTGTACATCGGTCTGGCAGCGCTATTTATCGGCATCGCCGTGTGTATTGTTATAAAACCAATTGCAAATTGTTTTTCTTAATTGTTTCCTAATCTGCATTTAAAATGTCTGTGCCATTTAGCGGCACATTGAGCCGCTCGGGCGGCATTGTCTCGGCCATTGGCAAACAGCTGAAGAGCGTTAATCTTAAAGGCGTCAAACGCATTACAGTGCAGTTCGATCCGTTTGCGGAAAATGTACAATCCACACGGTTAGTATGTTGAGATGGAGGAGGCGCTGAGGGGTGCAGTTGGGAGGTGGGTGGATATGGCAGCAATAGGGTTGGAAAAGCGCTTTCCCAGCGCCCCAGTTTATCGATTATGAAACATGCGCATTGCGACGCATATGGTAAAGATTTTCACGAAACATAAGTGCGTTGTCGAAAAATGTAAAAATAAAAAACAATATTGACAAAGTGCATGAAAAGATTACACGTAAAAATTGATACGAAAATAAATTCCTTTCTACTGTGTGGCAGTAGTTCGGCTCGCACTTACCATAAACCTTGCCCATGATGCCCACCGCAGAGTTCAGCTGCAGCGCAGTGCCCAAATCGGGTGAAAATGTCAACGGCAGCGTATGGAGCTGAGCTGGCCCGCCGGCCAGCTCCCGCTCCGTTGACATTTTAGTCGGTGTCGGCGTCAGCTTGAGGCGTTGCTTCTATTGCCACTGACAGATACAGCTGGGACAACATATAAAGAATAAAGGAATATTAGTATATAAATAGGTTGACTTGAGTGCTTAAATCTTAAATATTGTCTAGCATACAAGAGTTCTCCCCTATAACAACAATAATTAGCTTGTATTCAATTTAGTTAGTTAATTATAAAAATCAATTCTCTCTCTGGCTCTTCACAGCGAATTTCTGTTCCTGCTCTCCACGCCAAAAGTGTCCCAGACGAATCCCAAGTGCGTTGTCAAGCCGGACATTGTCTGCGATCGTTCGCCAGCGTTGATTAAATTTGCGCTAATCGACTCGGCACAAGGTAGGGTATTAAGCAAGCCAATCACTCGCTGTTCGAATAACACATTTGTCCAACTCTTACAGAGAAGGCCAAAGTCAAGGAGATTCGCTTCAATAGCGAAAATCTGAATACCCTGGAACTGCTGCAGCTGTGCAACAAGCACGTGTCCGCATTAGCCCCGCCCGAGGAAGTTGCCAACAAGGTCCTGACGAAGGCAGAGAAACAGAAATTGGGCGGCGGTGGCAAGAAGGTGATCAAAAAGAAGTAACTAGATACCACGCGATAAGCGCGACTCGCACTCGCTGCCCGTCATCATGGTGCGGAAACACAGGGGCACTCTGGCCGTCATTGAGCAGATCTATCAGGACATACCCGCTTTCACCGATATCTTTACGGAGGAGAGCTTCTACACGTTTGCCTTCTGTTTTGTCTGTGCCACCGTTCTGGTGGCATTTATACTATCGCGCTTTATCACCATCAAGCCCGTTGATTTCTGAACCAGCATTAAAAACTTAAGCTTTAACATGTAAAACACTCCACTCCATTGTCTTTTCTCTGCACGACTGCCCCAAAAGGGCAGAGGCGATGGGGCCCGGCGATTCGGCTACTCGGCTGTGCCTGTGGCCTGCTAAAAAACCAGTTTGGGGCACAGCATTTTATACGCTTCCAACGGGTATTGGGAGTTTGTCAGCAAATGTGTGACGCATTGAAGGCGACAGGCCATAAATTATATAAATTATACATCTCACTGACATACTGTCTTTATGTTTCTTAGTTTATGTTCTGGTTTCATCTGCAGCCCATTATATCATATAGATTTTATAGAAATATCGGTTGCAATTCAAAATAAACAAAGTGTTTATAACATCAAAATGACATCTTATATTATTGAGTACCAAAAGGCAGTTTCATAAGTTTTTATGCCTTTATCTATCATTGCATATAGCAACAAATATAGAACAAATATCGATCTTTAAGATATACGCAATGAATTTTGTTTCTTTAATTGTATATCTCAGCACAAAAATATTGATAAATATTGGACTCTTGATCTTTTGGCAACATCTTATCCACATTGAACTTGTCTAACATATTGTTCCTGATCTGAATTCATGAAACTCGAAATTGTCATACCATATTTAAACTTAAGGATTTCAATAGCCCGATTTCTATTGGATTCCCTGGAACTCTCCAAAATTGTAGGTTGAGGGAAAAATCTAGAAAATTCCGACGTATATTCTGGATAATTATAATTTCTGATATTGAATTAGTTATATGAAGGTCTGTAAGGGTATCTAGAGTTCGGCATATGAAGAAAGCGGTTTTTTCTTATTTTTTTTTTTTGTTGCAACTTTTGCTTTGGCAAACCGGAAAATCATCTGCTTTGATTGCAGTCAGCCGAAATAAGCTGTGTCATAGGCTGGGGCGGTATGGTGGGAGGGGGGACTCGAGAGACACAGCCTTATAATTGCATTGATTGCATCTGCCCAGGGAGGAGGTGTGGGGGGCAACAACTGCCACACGTAATTGGCAACGCATATAATTGGGCTTGGAACAAGGAGGTCATGCAGCAACTTGGAACTGGTCACACTGGCAGTGTGCAGCTTTTCTCGATAAATGCCCTTAAATGCATACACATACATATGTAATAAATAGTGTGGCAGTTCCTAAGGGTTAAACAGGTGTTTGCCTTGCGATAAATAGAGCAGAGCCAAACAAGAAGACGCAACACGAAGAAAAACAAAATTTCACTTTCGTTTTGCTGTTTGCCTTTTCTTTTTCGCTCACACACACCGATAGAGTGAGAGAGAGAGAGAGAGAGAGAGAGAGGGGGAAGTATAGCGGTGTGAGTGGCTAACTGAAAATTCAAGCGCCCGCCGCCCCCTCAAAAAATGCAGTTGCCGCTCGCGTATGCAAAATACAAAGCTTCGAGTTGAACTTTTAAAATGGCGGGCGAAATGTGTGCGTGTATGTGTGTGTGTGTGTGTGTGTGTGTGTGTGTGTGTGTGTGTGTGTGCGTGTGTGTGCGACGAGTGCAAAAGCAACGCATATCGATTCAAATTGCTGCAGATAAAAACAACAAACTGTTGAGATGCAGTCTGTAAATTTGGTGAAAGCTGTTACTGCACACACTTTTATAACGGTTAAAGCACACATGCTTATCCATGTATAGTTGTGTGTGTGTGTGTGTGTGTGTGCAGCTTTGATAACTTGTGTTTTATATACATATACATATATGTATGTATGTAGACAATGTCGTCATTCAAGTTCAATGTCAGACTAGAAGCTGAAAAAGCTCCTCACTTCGTTTTCATGAGTGCTTCAATATTATTTGCCAAATATTGCGTGGGTTTAGCCACGTCGGCCATATTGAAAATTGTCTTACCCCACACCCCCACCACTTCGACGTTGCCATCATCAAATTGAAGTTTGAGGCTGTTTGCATAACCCAACGAAATAGCGCCAGACTTAGTGGTTGGGGCTGCCAGTGAAAGTGTCCATAGACAAGTGGCAGCCCCATTCATGTACAGTTAAAGGCAATAGATACCTATACAAGCGCACTTTTGGCAATGTGTGTCCTTCAATCAATTTTATTGGAATACAAAACATGTTCAAGTACACACACACCGTTACATCCATTACAGCACTTGCACATGCCTGTGCGGCAATAGCTAAAAGGAAGAAATTGCCCGTGTGACCTTTCTACCAAAACATAAACACAAGCTGCCTCTCTCAACACAGATGGTTGTCTCGCTCGCACAGCGCCCGCTCTTGCAAATTGACATAGCATATGCTCAGGCGCCATTACAGCATAATGCACATACATATGCATGCACTCCATATAATTGTATGCTTTTATATGTATGTATGTATATATGTGTGTGTGTGTGTGTGTGTGTGTGTTGTTATGGCTCCAAAAAAAAACTTCCTTGAGCAACTTTTAGATAAAATGGCGCGCGAGCTGCAGTCGCGTGGGCGTGCAGAAATTTCTGCAGCTGTTCTGGAACATGCAAGCGAAATCGAGGCTCTTGGCGTTGCCACCCCCCACCCTAAAGCAAATGCACACATACGCACACACATACACTAACAGAACCCATGTTTGCGCTCACCTTATCGCACAATTGCAGCTGATGCGGCGCTTTATGGATTTGCCTATCAGCGACAAGTCGTTCGCGGTTGTTCAATTTGTTGTTTTATCGTTGTTGGCGATTTTTTTCGATTTCCTGTTGCTGCTGATGTTCGTTGAGTAATTTTTCCAAAATTGTTACACATTAAAAAAGAGTTTTGATTATTTGCGCTCCGTTTGGGTTGTGAACTTCACTAACAGCCGTTGGCTGTTGCTATTTGTATAATTGTTATTTCTTTTAATTGCCCCGTTTTGTTTGTTTTTGCTGTATCGATTGTACAATTTTTAACTCGATTATTTTAGAGCTTATTGCTGAAAATTGTTGCCATTGCCGCAACGCAATTTCTTTTGCTGCTGCTGTTTTTGTTGTTGGTGTTGCCAGATCGTTACCGGGATAAAGTAACTTTTGCTCTCAGCAGTTTGACGGCTCTGTCTCTCTCTCTCACACACACACACACTCACACTATGGCAACAAACTTGCGAATTTCTTTTCATTTATTTTTTGTTGTTTATTTGTCTTAACAACAATTTTGTAGCCGCTGACGTTTTTTACACACTTTTTTTTTGCAAGCTTTAATGTGCATATGCATGTGTGCGCGTGTGTGCGAGCGAGGCAACGATTTTGTGTGTGCGAAACGACAACGACGGTCGCTCGTTTCTGCTTACCAACACCAGCGCAGCTGGCTAACCGCTCTGCCGCTGCTGCTAATTGTTGTTATTTCTTTTTTTCTTCTCTTGTTTTTTTCTTTTTGTATTTGTTATTGCGGCGACGCGCTAACTTTTATGCCATACAGTTGAGGAAAAAGCTTTTCTCAACGATGCGGCGCGCAGTCATGCATTAAGAAAAAAAAAAACAACGTACACGCGTTTAGAAATACATACACACATATGTACATATGTGTGTGGCAGCAGCAGCAGCAGCAGCAGCTTGCTGCAAAATGAAAGCAGCAACAAAAAAAACAACTTACGACGCAAAACAGCAACAGAATTTCCCTGCTTTATTTATTTTTGAAATGCCCCCCGTCCGACACAAACATGCCCCCACACAGGAAATTACACAGTTAATCGAACGTGTTTAGCCTTTGGCTATGGCCGATTATTGTTTTGTGTTATTTTCGAGATCAAAATACGAAATCAAAATCAAGCGACTTAGCGAACGCGCGGTTTGCCCGTTTGAAGTTGAATAAATACACATATCTGCCCAAGTATTCGCAAACCATGCACTCTTCATTGTGTTTGTGTGTATCTGTGTGTGCTTGCCGAGAGCGGCGGCGCGTGAGCGAAACCAACAGCAGCGTAAGAGAGAGCGAGAGAGGGAGAGAGAGACCAAAACAGTGCGTACAATTTGTATGCGTATGTGCGACAAAATCATAACACTCGCGAGTCAAGGGCAACTTTCATGTAACGGTTGTTTCCAGCAACAGCCTGACAGCACTTGTCGCTTTAATGTACATACAGTAAGCGCTCAAATAACGGACAGCCGACTTTTCATTGTAGCCTTAATTTGCACAAACAATTAAATTGGACTCAAATAAAATCAATTTTGTTTTCTGGTTATTTCTTTCACTGTACTTATGCTGTAAAAGCTATAACTTTAATCGGAAAAGTGTATATGTACAGTGAAGGCTCAAGCGATGGACGGACATGTGAGATGTTCTAAAGTGTAACCATGACTGTTCACTCGAAAGGGCTTTCACTGTACTTACTCTTCTAAGGAGCATCTCTCTCGGACGGACAACTGTTAACCTTACTTTGGCAACAAATGAGAGTATTCACTGTACTTACACAGACATATTTGAGCAGCATTAATACATACATACCAACATTTGCATGGCCAATTTATTTTTGAATCGAAAACTTGGATAAATGTGCAAAAGTAATAATATGATGGGCTGTTTTGAACGCGTTCATTGAATTGGGATTAATTAATATTTGGGATTATATGCTGGGCTATATAAAATATGTGCGCGCTATTTCTGCTTCTCGTCCGGTTTATCTGCAGCGGCGGCGCTCTCCTCCTTGGCGGGCTCCGCTTCGGTTTTCTTGTCGGCCACGGGCGTGTCCTTGGCGACGGCGGCGGCAGCGTTGGGGGTTGCTTCATCGCCCGCCATGGAAGCGCCCGCCGGCAGACTCTTCTCCAGGGCACGGACAAACTCCTCGAGATTGCCCGAATAGGCGGCGGAGACTGCCTCGTGGGACAGCTCGAATTGCTTGACCACGGGTCCAAGCTGGGCCGATTGGAGAGCATTGGAGAATTGGGCAAGGGCCTGTTGGAATTGGGGCGAGCTGATGTGATCCTTGATCTGTTGCTTGCGATCCTCATCGGCATCTTCCGATTCCGGCAAGTGGACAATTAACGATTTGACGCGCTCCGGATCCGCAATTAGCTGATTAATCGCCTCAGCGCCAGACAGCGCCGTCGACAGGTCGATATTCAGTGAACGACCTGCGCCATGTTCAGGGGAGAGATTGGATAAATAGGCTTGGAATGGATTCGCATATGCTCCACTTGTTGCTGCTGTTGTCGCATTTGTCGTTTTCTTACCGGAGGCATCCGCATCAACGGCCAAACTTGCGCCGCCGGCTGCATCGCTCTGCAAACTGGTGACGCCGCCGGCGCTGCTGCTGCTCCGACTGTTGCCCGACTTGTTCGGCTTGCTGGGCGCGGACGCTGTGCGTGGCACGCTCACATTTTCCGGCGTTTGCAATGCGGCGCTGCCAGCACTGCCGCCGCCGCCGCTTGAAGCGGCTGTGTTGCGGGACGAGGGCGTGCGCGAACTGTGAATGGACAAGGAATACGACGATTAGAATTGGGCTCAAATCTTGGTTAACTTCGGTTTATATAATGCTTTGAATACCTATTGAAGTGAGGTGTTTGGTTACGATTTTACTCACTTCATTTGTCCCAGCAAGGAGCTGAGGCCGCCCATTTGGCCAACGCCGCCGAAGAGCTGCATCAGCTGCTGCTGCGACATGTTGTTCAGCATGTACTGGAGGTCGGTGCCCTCGCTGCCGCTGCCGCCGCCGCCGCGCTGGTGCGCCGAGGGGGGATTGTTGAGCAGCTCGTTGATGCGACGGCAGTGCTCCTCGTCTTTGTCCGTCTTGGGCTCCTGCATCCAGAAGAACATGCGACGCGAGCTGGACTTGAATTTGAGCACATAAATCCGTCCCGATTTGCACTGATCGACGCGCGTGTACTCAAAGTCGTCGGGGAATACAATTAGATCGTCCTCGACCTTGCCGCTGGTGCGATCTTTCCAGCAGAAGTGCATTAGTCCATCATCGCTCTGGGTCATATAGACGAGACCCTTGCGTGTATCCGGATGCACCATTTTGCCAACCATGTTCATGCGACCCGCACGGAACTCTACAAGGTTGGAGCTGTTGGAACTGCCCAAACCGCTTTGTCTGCCAAACATGATGCGGGCGCTTCTCGAGAGCTGCAATTTTGTTTAAAGATAAGACGGGATCTCTGGCAATGCGCAACACACGCACTTACTGGATATATAATGTGTTAAATAAATACAATTTGGGAATCCTTCAAATAAAAATCGCCTACTCTGCGGATGACGAGCAACTTTTGACACCTTGAGCTAGTGATGGGACGTAATTCGATAACAAGCGTTTTAGTGCTGCCAATAATATGTTGTGTTAACATTTACAGTTTCTGCTCCCAACAGCTCTTTTGAGCATAACATTCTTTTAATGTGCAGTCGAGGCTGCCACTCTGGTATAATTGGTACGTTATTTATATAATATAAAACTGAATCCTTGTCAATTTTACAACTACACCTAAACAATCTAATATATTATGTATTATTATTTTAATGTAATTACATTCATTAATATAATGGTACATTTAGTTTCACTAAGGTGGCAGCCTGTTAACAGTCTGGCAATCTTAATTGGAAGTGCCAGTATGACCATATATGAAAAAGAGTTACATACATATATTTAAGATTTCTTGGCAACAACAATTTGCTGATGGATTTATTTTAAACCGAAAAGTGTTCGAGTGAAGTGCTCAGGCAAAAGCTAATAGCTAATAATTAAATAAAAGGAAAAAGTACTAATTTAATTCAATTTTAAAGTAGTGTTTGACTCAAACGTTAAAGTTAGAACGCAATAAGTTGCAAAGTGTCATTCAGTTAAAAAGGTAAGAAATTAATTTCCGCATAATCACAGCTAAACACAACGCATTTTCATGTCCGCATTGGAATACTTAACTGTTTATTAGTTAAATAAATGCACGTCATGTATTTTAATGTTTAGTCGCCATTGTCTGCGGTTTCCCCTCTCTGCCTCTTTCTCACACGTTCCAGCAGCATCGCTTTTTCAATTCTATTCCCCTATCTATTCGTCTCTTATTTACTTGTCCCTTTGGCGTCTTTGTTTATTGCGCTCGCCGCCATTTCTTGCTGCTGCTGTTTCTGCGCATTTGGTTTTCAGCTGTTGCTTCACTCTTTGCTTTGGCCTATTTTTCTGTTTGTCTTATCAATACGATTTTTGCTCTCTTTCCATACTCTATTTTTTATTTATATGCAAGTGTGTGTCTGCTGATTCACCTTGCCCATGAGTTGCAAAACCTGTTTTAACCCTCGCACTTGGCGCAATTATTGTGATGTTGCTGTAACAAATACGTTTATCAATACCCTATAAAACTAACGGCAGCCACAAGAGCAAAGAGTAGAGGCGAAAAGGAAAAACAACAAACACAAGGCGAATGTCCGATAAGATAACGACAGAAACTTTTCGAATTCGAAAATGAGCAAAAACTAAACTGTGCATTCGCATTGATTGCACTCAAATTGTTCGGTACTTTTTTTTTTTTTTGTTTATCTGCTTTGTTGGCATATCCGCCCACTGGCGTCGCATCTGTTCATTGGTCATGTATGTGGCCCATGTTATCTACATAAATCGCTAACGCTGCAAACTTAACATTGCGACGCTTTGTTATTTACTGTTGTTGTTTTTGCTGCTGCTGATGAAATTCAGCTTTTTGGCTACAACTTTTTGTTGTTTGTTTATACGAAAGCTGAGAAGCTTGTTTGTGCTTTCTGTGTGTGGGCCAAGATATGATCGAAATCGTTACTTTGTAGTCACTTATAAATTTTACGTATTTATAAAAGAGTTTTTTGATTTAATATTTGAATTTTTTAAACAATAACGAAAGTTTAAATTGGTAATAGTTGATTTGTTTAAAGAAGTCACGAGATCAAGTTAACTTTTACTGGCAGTGACTTAGTCACAGTTAACTTAGTCACATTAAGCCTTTTTTAGCTCATCTCTAGGCCGAATGTTAAAAGCTCATCACGTGACGAGCTGTCGTTAAGCTCAAAACTAATTAAAGCTCGGCTTAATTAATATTTTGTATGTTATTTTCAATTGTTTAAATTTGTAATTGTTGATCTGCTTGTAATTCTAGCTAAAATGCGCATTTTATTCGCTCTATTGGCCCTGGTGGCTGTGGCGCAGGCCGTTTCCTATGCCGATGTTATCAAGGAGGAGTGGCAGACCTTCAAGGTGAGTAATACGCGGGAGATACGACGAAAGAAAGGGCTAGGGGACGACGACAGACGACTCGAATGCCAAACCAACTGTTTTGTGGCAGGTGTCAAATGCAGGTTGCATGATTAATGCCTTTGTTAATTTAGTTATTGAAGCCATTGTTCCAAGCTTTTGATGCATATCTGGGCGCTGAGTCATGCGGCTGGTTGTTGTTGTTCTTGTTGTTGTTGTTGTTGCAAGCAGCATATGTTGCAGCTAAGCTGATTAAAAGCCAGTCACATGCCGGCTCACATGACTCGCGGCTCGATGCCGATCTATCTAGAATTCTGTCACATGAGTTCCTGATAGAGGCGACGCGTCGGCTTTGTTGTACCGTTATGCGGCACAGCCTCAATGATAAGCCCGCATTCCAGCTTGTGTCAGGCGGCCGCGTTCACAGATAAGCAATTCGCATACAATTCCTAAAGCGTTTAACCCTAAGCAATTGCCCTGTTCTGAATCATTGGTATTTGTTTATTTCTTTTTCATCAATGATTGATTTGTAATTATTGCTGTTTAATTTGTGGCCACTTGGCCCAGCTCTTTGGTTCTTTGTCTCTGCCTGCGCTAGTTTACGGCGTAGAGCGCTTTGAACTCTCTATTTACCAGCTTATCAGTTATTGTTTGCAATATATGTACGGGGTTCGACGCTTATCGGGGATGGAACGCTTCAAAGGTTTCCAGCTCTGTCTAGACTAAATAGACTAAACTGAACTAGTTGCAAATTACATTTAAATAGTCAATGCATTTGTAATGCGTCTTAATTAAATCTTAAATCAGCACCGCGCACAAAAATTTAAAGGAGCCATGTTCATTGCTTACAAAGGATTTGTTTGATTTCGGGCATAATAAGCTAACCAAAACTTAAATTTTCCATTCGTGATTGCCTTTTTTAAATTTAAATTTGAATTGCCGTTCTATACATATTCTTTATATATATCTGCTTAATATAAAAAAGACCCGCATTGTGATCTTTTTCAATTTTGAATTTGTAACAGCCCAACTTTAAAACGAGCTACGCAAAGTGTTGCCTACTTTTGCGCGCTGCAAAAAATTTGCTGCACACTAAAAAAGGAGTAGCATAAGCGACAGGCGCATTCAAAATTCTTTGCTTTTGCACACGGCGCTGATTGGTCAGCGCTATCGATAGACAAATTGCAATCTGTATACATTTCGGGCCAGGAGTTTAGTGTTCACTAACACATATGCAAATTTATTGTAAGCTAATTGTGTTTATTGAGGTCTGCACATTCCGATCGAAGTGGAATACACAAAACGAACGCTAGGCAGAGATGACTTTTGATCCGAATATGTTGCGATAAGCGTGTGAAAGGCGGCCCCCCCTCAAACACTGTCAATCAAAATTGTTTTCATTTTTTTTTTTTCCATTCAATGATCATCATCTCAATTTATGCGCAAATGGCAAATAAAAAAAAAAACAATAATAATAAAGTTGAACAGCGTCAGAATTCTCGGAAATGGCGTGTGACTTGCTGTGGGGCTTATCACTTGGGTTAATGCTTGTTTTTGCTATGTGTTGTGAGACGAAAAGCTCGCGCGCTTTTTGTTGTGCTGTTTTGCAAACTGCACGAAAATAGGAGACGAAAGGGAATTAACAAGTGGGCGATTACTCTTGCGCTTAGTGTGCGTGTTTGTGGATATTGGCATGCTATAACCGGTTCACATTTTGCATATACATATGTACATCATGTGTACATATGCATGCACACATCCTAATAAATCATTGCTCTTATACGAAAGCGATCAAAAATAAACAGGTTCGCTGCATGCGGAACGGTTTCGATTCCTGCATGCATACATAAAAACATATTTACAAATACACAAATAGCATTTGATATACACGCTTCGTGCATATGCATGTGTACGTGTGTGTTCTTTTTTTGGTGCTGCCATGTGTGCGTACATCGCGCGGCGAACCATGCGGGCAGACTACTACTTTTGATATTACCCACCCGACGTTCAAAGCAAACAGACGCAACACTGGCTGCGAGCGGCGAGCGCAGAACCAACAAGAGAGAGCGAGCGCGCGCGCGCGCCAAAATCAAAACTTGGGGATGCAAGAGAGAGGAGAGATTGTGAGGAAACTGTAAGACATTTAAGGAAAGCACACGCGTCATTCAGAAAAACGTGTTAACGCTAGCGAGAAACAACTAAAAAGAAAACGGCTCAATCAAGCAAAATTATATAAAGCACATAAAAAAGAAATGGCCGCCTCGCCAAGTGATTTGGATATTATTGTCGATGTTGTGGTGCCTGTGGTGTTCGTAATTACAACATGTGTTATCAACTGTTTTGTGCTGGGATACATACTGCATAAACGGCGGAAATATGGAAATTTGGCCGAGCAAAAGGCGGCAGACGCATGTGCTGCATACGATGAGCCCACAACTTCCGCGGCCGCAGTAGCAGCGCCCGCTGCTGCGACAAACGCAGCAGCTGATGACAGCTGCTCCATTGAAATGGAGCGACTGTAGCGGCGCGCCAGTGTTGCCTTCGCGTTTAATTTAAATTAAGTACAAAAATAGTCTTAACGGATACTCAGCGTCATTTGGGCCATTTGCTGTATTAACAGAAAATATATTGACAAATTGAAAAGAAACAATAAACACAAACAAAACGAAGTGCAAGCCAAGCAACAACTAAACTAGCAGCAATAAATTGAATAACAAAAAACAACAACAAATATTCAGTCAACGAATCAATACAAAAGCCGTATATTCAGACTTAAGTCTAAATTTACATATATTTGTACCTTTAAGCGCATGTGCATTTAATTACTGTTCCTACGTTTTGTTTATTAACTTTTTACTGAGCCAGGCGACGCCTTTTTTTTAAAATGTGTAAATTTTTTAAATAAACGAACAAAAATTTTATTTCCAAATGCGAAAAATCAATAAAGTTCGGGCCGGGTTTTTCTCTACTTCTTCGCATATGACCCACCCCCTCCGCCTGCGTCTACAGGCGCTACAAGTTGCTGGGGCAGCTGAATTATGGCAATTATATCAATTATATGCAGGAACGAGAACCGCCAAACACTCGAGATGACTGGGCACCTATCGGAGCAAGTCATCCAACAACAAGAACAACAACAACAACAACAATTATTATCATCAGCAAAGCAGCCCTCATCATCAACATCATCATCATCATCATCATCATCATCATCGTCATCCGGTCAGGGCGTCAATTGCTGCTTTGACTCTTGTAATTAGACTTTATGTGGGCTGATGCCAGTTTGACCAGTTTGTTTGACAGCACTTGGTGAATTTTTACTGTACCAAATTAATGTTTGTCATTCCATTGATACCCTGTAACCATGGCAAATTAATGCAAATCAAAGGGTATATTGCAGTCATGTCATACAAGAACACGTTTGGCATTTAAATGGCATATTTAACACCTGAAAATTTCATAACAATCAGTTAATAGACACGAATGTCATTTGAGCATGAGACTTTTCACAGTTTCTGGGTCAGGGGTAAGAAGAAGCGCATCGATATAGATGACTATGAATGTATTTTGGTTACAGGGTATTTCCTAGTCAGGTTCGTTCGACCAGCTTGCTCTGTTACCTGTTTTTTTTTTGTACTATCCTGTTCAGCATTTTTTTTACAACTTTTACCCAAATTGTTAACAGGCTCGTAAACATGTTTATGGCTAGTTTTATGGGCCTACTGGGTTTTAGCTGGTGCCACCTTTTTGTTTCTGGGCTCCGATAAGAGGTGTCACGGCTTATCTCCTTAGATGCTTAAGAGCAATAAATTTAAAATGAATCGGAATCCGAATCGATGCTTTGCTTTGAGCGCAAACATTAGGTAAATCTGAACTTCGCCCGCCCCTGAACTGGGGTGGGCTGGGCGTGTGCATTCGCCGGCGTAGCCGTGGAGCTATCTAATCGCGGCCCGTGGAGAGTAGGTACAATGCTAATAACAAGACCTGATAACACAGTCGAAACACATTCGCTGATAAGCACAAGTCGTCGTGAGTGGCATATACACTTGTTTATATATGTATATATACTTATATACACGCTCCTCTCTCCCATTGCAGCTGGAGCATCGCAAGAACTATCTGGATGAGACCGAGGAGCGTTTTCGCCTGAAGATCTTCAATGAGAACAAACACAAGATTGCCAAGCACAATCAGCGCTATGCCGCCGGCGAAGTTAGCTTTAAGATGGCCGTTAACAAGTACGCGGATATGTTGCATCATGAGTTCCATACGACAATGAATGGCTTCAACTACACGCTGCACAAGCAGCTGCGGTGAGCATCCCCCCCTTATTCAAGCCATACAACACCAGTTCTTATATTGAATCGTCTATCCTTATAGTGCATCTGATCCCAGCTTTGTGGGCGTGACGTTCATCTCGCCGGAGCATGTCAAGATACCCAAGTCTGTGGATTGGCGCAGCAAGGGCGCTGTTACCGAGATCAAGGATCAGGGACATTGCGGCAGCTGTTGGGCCTTCTCCAGCACCGGCGCTTTGGAGGGTCAGCATTTCCGTAAGGCAGGCACTTTGATCTCGCTCTCCGAGCAGAATCTGGTCGATTGCTCCACCAAGTACGGCAACAATGGCTGCAATGGTGGTCTGATGGACAATGCCTTCCGTTATATTAAGGATAATGGTGGTATCGATACCGAGAAATCGTATCCGTATGAGGGCATTGATGATTCCTGCCATTTCAACAAGGCCACCATTGGCGCCACGGATCGCGGATCCGTTGATATACCCCAGGGTGATGAGAAAAAGATGGCTGAGGCTGTGGCCACCATTGGACCCGTTTCGGTTGCGATTGATGCCTCTCACGAGTCCTTCCAGTTCTACTCCGAGGGCATCTACAATGAGCCACAGTGTGATCCACAAAATCTGGATCATGGTGTGCTCGTCGTGGGCTATGGCACCGATGAAAGTGGCCAGGACTATTGGCTGGTCAAGAACTCGTGGGGTACCACCTGGGGCGACAAGGGCTTCATCAAGATGGCGCGCAATGCAGACAATCAGTGCGGCATTGCCTCAGCCTCCAGCTATCCGCTGGTCTAGAACAACATATATGCACCACCGCTCAACCTCATTTATTTAATCACAGAGAAGGACCTCTATATTCCGAAGCGAGCATCTCAAAAGTAAACTTATAATTTAATGGGCATATGTTACGATCTGCAAAACTCATCATCGCATTTTTTATATGATTTGCCATTAAAAGTGAATACAAATTAGGCATATTACAATGTTGATGTTTTGTACAAAATAATAAAAAATATTTTTAAAGAGAACTCAATTTCTTTTAAGTACCGGCATGAAAAATAATCAAATCATAAGTATAGAAGGCAGACTACCAATTATTAATTGTAATAAAACCAATATTTGAATGGATGCCTTGCTAGATTCAATATGAAGAATGAAGACTGGCACCATAACCCGGGAAAGTCAGGCTCACAAACTGAACCTAAAGGCTAGACAATAGAGTGCAACGTGAAACGAGCCTAGGAGATATTTTTGATATGACAGCCAGTTTGAATAAACAAATACACTAAAAATTGTTGAAATTTGCACTGATAAGCGCCGATTGTCGACTGTAATTGTAAATTAGTTAACAGCCCTGGTAAGTGGTACCGATGTTATTTAACATCGATACATTTTGGGCGCACGCCTATCGATACTATCGATACAATAGAAGCAGCTGTTGTTTTATAATACATAGAATGCAATATTTGGCCAGTTAGTAAATAAAAAACAACATAGAAAATGCTATTGACGCTGCGTGTGCACGGCTCGCGTCTGTGTTTGGGCATTACGGGCCAACAGCGCCGTCGCTTGTTGGCCAGCAGTGCCGCTGAGGAGGCCAAGAAACTAACGACGCCCCAGCAGCCGTTGCAATTGGAAATCAATGGAGGCACGTACGCCACGGACAGCTGGACGAATGTGACCCCAAAGATTTTGTCTCACCTGGGACTCAATAAGCATCTGCAGCGGGATCATCCGTTGTCGATAATGCGCCAGCGCATTGTCAACTATTTTTATGGCGCTTATCGCAATCAGCGCGGAAATCCACTATTTTCCGTCTATGACCAACTCAATCCGGTGGTGACGGTGCAGCAGAACTTTGATAATCTGCTTATTCCCAGCGATCATGTGAGTCGCCAGAAATCGGACTGTTATTATATCAATCGGGAGCACTTGCTGCGCGCCCACACGACGGCACATCAGGTGCAGTTGATATCTGGTGGATTGGACAACTTTCTGGTTGTTGGTGAGGTCTATAGGCGCGATGAGATCGACAGCACACATTATCCGGTGTTCCATCAGGCGGACGCAGTGCGTCTGGTCACCAAAGATAAGCTCTTCGAGCGCAATCCTGGCCTGGAACTGTTCGAGGAGACGTGGAGCGGTTCGCTCGCAGATCCAAAGCGCATTTTATCCTCATCCAAGTGCATGGACCAGACTAAGCAGCCCTGCCACACCCTCGAGGCCGTCAAGCTGATGGAGCACGAGATGAAGCACGTGCTGGTTGGCCTGACCAAGGAGCTATTTGGTCCGCGTATCAAGTATCGCTGGGTGGACACCTATTTTCCCTTTACACAGCCATCTTGGGAGCTGGAAATATACTTCAAGGACAACTGGCTGGAGGTGCTCGGCTGCGGCATTATGCGCCACGAGATACTTCAGCAGGCGGGCGTGCATCAGTCAATCGGTTATGCTTTTGGCGTGGGCCTGGAGCGCCTGGCTATGATACTATTCGATATACCAGATATTCGATTGTTTTGGTCCAATGACAGTGGGTTCCTATCACAGTTCAGTGAGCAGGATCTGCATAACCAGCCCAAGTACAAAGCCATCTCACATTATCCGCAGTGTACAAACGATTTATCCTTCTGGCTGCCGCCCGATGTAGAGGTCTATGCTGGCTTCTCACCCAACGACTTCTATGACCTGGTGCGCTCGGTAGCTGGGGATGTCGTGGAACAGGTGCGTTACATGTTAGCAAAAACACATATGTACATAATAGCTAGTTATTTTTGGAATTTCCAGATACGCTTGGTGGACAAATTCAAGCATCCAAAGACGGGCAAATCCAGCGTATGCTTTCGGATTGTCTATCGTCATATGGAGCGCACTATGACGCAGGCTGAGGTCAATGAGATGCACAAGCAGATAGCCGATGCTAGTGTGGAGAGTTTTAATGTGCAAATACGCTAGTCTTAATTAAAAAATTGTTTTAATCCGAAAATAGTAAAATAAATTGACATTTTTTTGAAAAACTTTGTGCGTTTGCTCAAAGTAATCGATGCTTTTGCTGTACAATCGATACTCGAACGCTTTGCAACACTTTTTTAAAGCCTTTATGTGCAAGCCGTAGAGTGCGGCGTTGTTGAAGTATACGTCTTTATTAATTTTATGAAATTCAGGTGAAAATGTCCACATTAGAAGCAGACACCGTGCTGTACAGCATATTGGCATTGGTCATCATTGAGAATGCACTGGAAATCTATATAGCCGTACGCCAGGTGAGTCAATATGGGCGTATGCCGGCACGTGCCAGTATTTTAAGGCGGCAATTAATGTTTGCTTGTATTTTATGATGCATCTGTGCACGTACATACGTGTTGATATATATATATATATTTAGCGGCACGTTAAATGTCAACCAAGTTCGTTGATTGCCATAGCAATTGTTGTTAATGAAACGCACTCTCCCTCTGCCTATCCCTGACTCGCAGGTGAAAGTCTATCGCAGTGCGTTGACTGTGCCCAATGAGCTCAAGGCGCACATGAGCGAGGAGACGTTCCATAAGGCGCGCAAATATGGCCTGGATCAGGAGAACTTTGGGATATTCAAGGCGCTGCTTATGGATGTGCTGCTGCTCTGCTTGGAACTCTATGTGGGACTTATTGCGTTGATCTGGCAGCTGTCGTTGAATGTGGTCGAACGTCTGCACTGGGACGCCAGCAATGAGATAGTCGTCAGTCTGGTTTTTGTCCTAATCTCGAATGTGTTGTCCACATTCAAATCGCTGCCGTTCAAGCTGTACAAAATCTTTGTACTGGAGGAGAAGCATGGCTTCAATAAGCAAACGGCAGGCTTCTTTGCCTGGGATCAACTGAAGGGCTTCCTGGTCACACAAGTGGTTATGCTGCCCATTACGGCGGCCATCATATTCATTGTGCAACGTGGCGGCGATAATTTCTTCATCTGGCTGTGGATCTTCACTGGCGTCATATCGCTGGTGCTGCTCACCATTTATCCGATCTTCATTGCCCCGCTGTTTGACAAGTACACGCCGTTGGAGCAGGGCCCGTTGCGCAAGTCAATTGAGGATTTGGCCGCATCACTTAAGTTTCCGCTAACGAAGCTATACGTGGTTGAGGGCTCCAAGCGTTCCTCGCATAGCAATGCCTATTTCTACGGCCTGTGGAACTCCAAGCGTATTGTGCTATTCGATACGTTGTTGCTGAACAAAGGCAAGGCCGACGATTCGGAGCTGACGGATGATGAGAAGGGCAAGGGCTGCACGGATGAGGAGGTGCTGGCAGTGTTGGGCCACGAGCTGGGCCACTGGAAGCTGGGACATGTGACCAAGAATATTGTCATTATGGAGGTGCATCTGTTGCTCATGTTTCTAGTCTTTGGCTATCTGTTCAAGTATGCACCCTTCTATGAGGCACTCGGCTTCCAGCCCGGCACACGACCCATACTCGTCGGTCTATTGATTGTCTTCACGTATGTGATGGCACCCTATAATGCGATCATAAACTTTGCGATGACCATATTGTCGCGTCGCTACGAATATCAGGCGGATGAGTTTGCCCATAAGCTGGGTTTTGAGCATCAACTGGGCCGTGCACTGATCAAGCTCAATTTGGATAATTTAGGTTTTCCTGTCTACGATTGGTTGTACTCCACCTGGAATCATTCGCATCCCACGCTGCTGCAGCGTCTGGCACGCCTCAAAGAGCTGGGCCAGTCACAGAAGAAGGTGCAGTAAATGCCAGGGCAAGTTGCCCCTTCAAGTTTCTAGACCAAAGCATTTAGCTTCTCACACTCTCTCTCTCTCGCTCCGTATTGTATCGTATTGTAGTAGCCCCTTGTTTAGTTGTATATTGTGTAGATTTCAATAAAGCAAGCGATAGCCAGGACTTTGAAAACGAAAACAAAAATGTATATGAAAAATTCTAAAATATGTATATCGTATGTATTTGGCTAAAATGTCAAATTTAAGTTGGGGGCACAAACAATGACTGGCTCCTTCTGGAACGATCCCGCCATTATACTCTATCTCCTTATAGTCGTACTGGTCGCGGATAGTCTCTGGTCGCTGTATCTGCTGCTGCGCGAGGTAATAATGCCATATTCATATGCCATATGCCATCCAGTCCAAACTGTGCCCCTAAAATCTCTCTTGCAGATCCTTATTGTCTATGATGTGCCCCAAGTGCCGGGGGTGCTGGGTCCATATTTATCACAGGAATTGTTTAACAAAATGCGCACATACAAGCTACACAAGAGCTGGTTCATCATAGTCAATACGCTATTTGTGGTCATCATTTGCGGCTGCCTTGAATTGTATTTTGGCTTCTATGCGTTCGTTTGGCGCGTGGCCGGCAAATGCGTTATCTGGGATTGGATGAAGCACGAGGTGTGCCTGTCCATCATATATGTGTTCCTACTTAGCATTTACATCACAATCAAATCTCTGCCGGGTCACATCTATGAGAGATGGTGCATAACCAGCCTGGTAAAGCGACCCAAGACGAGGTGGTTGCATCGCATTCTTTGCGATATTCTCGACACCATCTGCTCGCTGCTGTTGATGGCATTGGTGGTCAGTGTAGTGGTCCTGATGGTGCAGTTTTTGGGTCAGTATGCCTTTCTGGGTCTGTATGCGGCTGCCGTCATGCTGACCGTGGTGGTCATTTTGCTGGTGCCGTGCATCATTGATCCGTTCATTGGCAAACGTGTGCCGCTCGAAAATCTAGCACTGCAAGCGGATCTGGAGTACCTAACTGCTCGCGTCAGGTTTCCCATTCGTCAGGTCTACATCATACGCGTTCGGGATCCCAGTGTCGGCAGCAATGCCTTCTTCTATGGGTGCTGCTGCCTGAAGCGCATTGTGATCTTTGATACGCTGCTGTTGAATCGTGGCCGGCACAGTCCCGCCCAGATGCCGGCGGAAGACCAGGGCAAGGGCCTGACCAATGCGCAGGTGGTCGCTGTAGTTGCCCACGAGCTGGGCCACTGGAAGAATGGGCACTTTTACAAGGCGATTGTGATGTTCCAAGTGCATTTATTGCTGACCCTTCTGCTCTTTATCATCTGTTTTCCCCATGGACCCATCTATCAGGCGGTTGGCTTTGAGCCGGGCCTACAGCCAATCGTTGCCGGATTTATCATCATTTTTGGATTTGTGCTGACGCCATATTTCACTATCTCGAATGTGCTAATGCTAACGATGACGCGCCAATTTGAATATCAGGCAGATAAGTTTGCCTTCACGCTGGGCCATGCCATCCATCTGAGGCAGGCGCTGCTCAAGCTCTATGCGGATAACTTGTCATTTCCGATATCGGACGGCTGCTATTCCAGTTGGCATCATACGCACCCAACAATGCTGCACCGTCTGGGGCGCTTGGAGCAGCTCGAGGCGTCCAGATCCTGAACAAAGTAGCTTCGCATACATCTGTTATCTGCCATTTAGCTGCCATTTTTCGAGTATAAATATATACACATACATTGACATACTCGTATATGTGTGCTATCTTCATTGTTGATTGTTTTCTTTGTCATTATTGTTGTTTGTTTTGGAAACATGATCTTATCCTGAGCGATGGTATTCTACGACACTTGGCCGAAGCTAGAACCGCGCCATCTGCTTTATATACTGATGCTGGTGTTATTCATTGATCACATATGGGAAATAATCTTGGCCAAGCGACAGGTGAGTTGTCATTGATGTGGGTTACTTTCGCCAAGCTCTCACCGATTCCCTAAACGTATTTTTGTCCAGTAGCAACTGACCTGCCTGGGCGCCATTTTGGTGCCGGAGGAGCTGCGTGGCATAATACCGCCGGAAATCTATCATCGCGCCCGCATCTATGAGCTGCACAAAATGGAGTTGGTCATCTGGAAGCATGTCATGGATATGATAATTAGTTTATTGGAATTGTATTTTGGCTTCTATCCGTTTGTCTGGGGTCTGGCCACCAGCACCCTGGCCAGCCTGACCAGCGAAGAGGTTTGGATTAGCCTGATCTTTGTATTCTACTTGACCATCTATATAACGCTGCGTTGCCTGCCCGTGCTGCTTTACGACAAGTGCATATTGGAGCTGCGCTACGGGACACAGCAGCGTTTTCCCTGTTATATATACTTTTGCATGGGCCTATTGTCCATTGTCCTCTCACAGATCATCCTTGCACCTTTGACCATGCTGATTGTGTTTAGTGTTCAGTCGCTTGGTTATTATTTTTTTCTATATTTCTGGGTATTGTGGGCTCTGTTCACGATATTTTTGGTCTTCTTTCTGCCCTACCTATGCATTCCATGCATTGGTCATCAGCGTCGCCTGCCGCCGGGCACCACCCTCTATGCGGATATCAAACAAGTCTGTGATGTGACCAGATTTCCCATGTCTCGTGTCTTTATTATCAGAACCAAATCGATGCAGTATAGCAACGCCTATTTCTATGGCAGCTGCTGCCTGAAGCGCATTGTCATCTTCGATACGCTGCTTTATAATAAGGGTCTGCCCATCCAGGAGCTGCAGCCCTACGAGGTGGGACGCGGCCTGAGCAATCCACAGGTGGTGGCCGTTGTTGCCCATGAGCTGGGCCATTGGAGGAAGGGACATTTCTATAAGGCCACATTAATAATGAAGGTGCACTTCCTGCTGACCATGGTGCTATTCGGCCTGCTCTTCCACTGCCCGCAGCTGTATCAGGCAGTCGGATTTGTGCCGGGCCTGTGTCCAATTATTGTCGGCTTCATTATTGTGCTGCGCTTTGCGATGACGCCATACCTGACGCTGGCCAATTTTCTGATGTTGTGGAATTTGCGCCGTTTCGAGTATGCAGCGGATCGCTTTGCCCACCGATTGGGCTACTCCATGCAGCTGCGCCTGGCGCTGATCAAGATCTATGCGGATCACATGAGCTTTCCGGTCTACGACAGCTGCTATGCACGCTGGCATCACACGCATCCGACCATATTGCAGCGCCTGGCCTATCAGCAGCGCCTGGACACGGAGGCCTACTACAATGACTAGCGAAGCAATCAGAGCTCTCTTTTTTTCTCTATAAATTTTAAGTTTATTTTTTTTTTTAGTAGCCAGTGAGATTAGTTTCGTATTTGTTGTCGTTTTTTTTTCTCTTTTTGTAATCATTTGTAAAAATTCGCTCGAATTTCAGTTACGGAAGCAAATTACTTATTAAGCGGCCATGCCCCTTGGACGCATCACCAAATTGAATGTTAACATTGACAAGTGGTGAGTGAAGCGATCTTGAGTCTTGTTTTATGTGAAATCTCAATCCTCCTCTATCCCGTTCACAGTCAGACGCATATCTCGTATGAAGACTATTCCACGCGTTTTGTCATGAACAATCCGTCCGGATTTGTTTTCCGCAGCAAAGGCAACGCCAATTGTCGCTGCTGCCAGGACTGTGCCAGCCAGGCTGTCGGCTTTCTCAAACGCCATTTCGGATTGGGCGGCAGTATCACAAAGACGCCTTCCCTATGTAATTTGCTTTTAACTGTTGGTCTTGACGAATACGCATTTATCGAAGTGAGGCACATCGAGGAGCCGTCGGTTTCGGCGAATACGAGCGAACACGAGCAGAGCCAGCTGCACACCTGGCACATGGAGGAGTTGCCTCTGGTATTGCCGCAGCGTGCCACCAAATTGGAAAGGATCAAGGGAAAGCTGCAAGTGTTATCTCTCGCTTGGCATCTGGACAGCTGCAAGTGCCGAAATTTCACCGCCAACGATTATGCGCTGCCCAAATGGTACGTTTATATACCATTCCGGCAAACGGTTTTCAATATTATTGTTATTGGCTCGTGCGAAATTAAAATCTATCTGCACTACCTGGAGAGCCCCCGTATTCAACCAGAGAATTTTAATTTCCGCAATCGTCTAAAATAATATTTTATATAGAATCTTTCAAGAACAAACAAAGACTTGGAGTCAGTCAACTGAAAAAAGAGTTGTAATCAAGGTTTTTTCCAAAATTTCCCATCCCTTTTGGTAGTAATATAGAAGGCTATCAGTTGCAGTTTTCCATATTCCACCTAAGCCAGTGGATTTTTGAAAAAGTGTGAAACCCGTCTTCAGGGTATTTTTACAAAGATCGTAGGAAATTACTTAAAAGCCAAGCGGCAGGAAACAAAGAGTTTTTCTACAACCATTTCCACCAATTTTCAACCCTTGCCGAGGAAATGTTCGAAAATCGCATCATAATTTTCATGTACATAAAAAGCAGTTAGGGTGTGAAAGACTTAAAAGTTATATAAGCTAGTCAGTTAATTTAGAATACAGTGAAAATTCTCATAACGGACAGTCAGATTAGGCGGACATCCCTTTTGGGCGGACATTTTCAGTCAAATTGTTGTGAATCAAGCAATACCCATACCCATAAAACGGACTCTTTTTGACTCAATTGTCTCTGTCCGTTTCAGAGAGTTTTCCCTGTATATACATAATTAGTTAGTTATCCATTAACACAATGTTTTACTACAAGCAGCCACTGTCTGAAGATCAAGGAGACCATGGACTATATAAACGAGGTGGTCGGCGAGATGCCCACGCAGGAGCAACAGGAGGAGGAGGCTTCCAAGAGTGATATTCGCATCATGCCCGATATGAATGCCAATATAATTGGGATCAATGCGCTGCTTCAAAAGCTAAGCGAACTGCTGGAGGAGCAGAACTATGAGCAGGGCAATGTGCCGCAATAGCTTGAACAAAAAGCAAACAATATCTTCCACGTGTCTTGAGATTGTGATCTATCGATAGTTTATTAAAACACACATTTTCATTTCATAGAATTTTTGCTTGACATATATGTATGTATGTAGGTTGTATATATATATATATATATATATATATATATATATATATATATATATATATATGACTATATATGTATATATATATATATACTATATATGTATATATATATATATATGTGGAGCATCGATAATAAGGACATTTTTTGTATGCTGCGTTGGTTATGGGGACAATTCGCTCTTTTGGGGACTGACCTTAAAATTTTTAGGACTGGAATGTCTCTTTTGGGGACTTTTCATAATTCTTCATAATTCTTAGTTCTTAGAAGAAACCTAAGGGTTAATAAAAATAACAATACCTTTTCTTAACATTATCCAACCAGCACTTTGCCTGTACCTCAAATACTATAATTTTTATATTATCTTAAAGTTGGTCCACTTTATGGCGAGAAGATTTTTCGGGAACACAGATTTTAAATGCGTTTGCTGACATCTGCATAACTATGATGTAATCTGATTAGGTTTATTTTGCATGCATTTGATCATTAAAAAAGAACAAAACACAATTCGTACGCTAGTTCTCCCATAATATATGTTTTTTACTAATATGTATATATCCTCATTTGGTCGATGTGGCAACTCTACGAAATGAAAATGAAATGAAACAAACTCCATTTAGGGTAACGTGTTTTATGGGGACTCAGTTCCCGAAATACTCTCAGTATATAACACAAAAATTGTTCGTTATAATGTACTTTATATATAAGGTAAGTTTTAGGGACAAAAACGCAACGTGTATTATAAGGACACAGGAACGATGAGATTTGGTCCAGTTCACACTTCAATTTAGTAAATAACAGTCAAATAGCTGTCCCCAAAAACATACTGATTTTATATAAATATAGAGACTCATATATAGAGGTTATGAGGACTAGGGAACAGTGAATTTCGATAAAACTCACTAAACTAAATAAATATAACGCGAAACCACATAAGACTCAGCAATATTTTATTAAATTTATACATTTTAAATTTAGTGGCAGACTGGCTTAATTGAAATTAAGAGTCAAATTTATTTTGAATGTAGTTTTGGATCACTTTAGGTTAAAGTAAAATTAATAATGTGAATTAACATAAATGACGTTATTAAATACATGCATTTAAAATGAATTTTTTTTTAATTCCAAAATTTTTTAACATAAATTAATATTAATATACGAAAAAGTATAATCCACTTATTTTAAATATGGTCAACATATTTATTATTTAATCTATTTGCGGAGTTCCTTGATTTAGCCTTGCGCTGATTATCTATCCATGTTTTTACTTGCGCCGGTGTCCTACATTTTAGATATGTAGAATTATTTATAACTGTGTTGCATTGATTAAGTGACGGCAATCCTTTAAGCGACAACAGGTCGCCAAAAGCCTGGTATATTTCTTCACGCTCTTCATTCGACCACCGGTTTCTTATCGTTTTTCCAAATGATGATCCTGTTAAATAATAGAGTTTAATACAATTTAGTGTGAAAAAGAATAACGTTTTAGTAATATAGAAAAATATTAAAAACTTTGCAGTCGGTTGCAACCGTCGCAATACTCAATCATAGACCAATAACAGATTAATACAGCCTACCAGAACAATTTATTAGGTGATATCAATTTTAAACATTCGCCACGCACCCAGTCAATCGTAGGCAAACTAATTTTTATCGATCTTCAGAGTAGTCCATCAAT